ACTTGCACTGTGACTCGTAGAACCTTTCGGACCCTCCAGATAGAACCCGCCCGCCGCGCCTCGGCGCAAGTTCAGCTACATTTCATCCGAAGCCCTTTGACTCGACCAGATAGTGTTCTGTTGTTTTTTCTAGAAGTTGCCTTAAATGTGTTTATTTCCTGTGGTGAACCGTTTATATTTATTTGGGGGGGGGGGGGGGGGGGTCTGGCTCTGATCCATTTGCGATGCACTTTTAGTTTGATCAGTATTATCATCGGAGTCTTATCAGTCAGGAGCTGGTTTTATTTTGAAAATCCCAACCCTTTCATCTTCCTGTCTGTGGTTCTGTTTCAGAGGGATGAGTTGGTTAATCGGGTCATCGGAGCGCGTTTCATCAGAACAAACATAAAGAGCAACATCTGTGCACTCGCCTTTTTATGCAAGTTTTTATACCAGATTTTGTGGACTTTTTTTAAATATGCATTTGTTTCTGTTGTTTTTATGTCAAACTCAAGTCACCTTTTTTCCTTTGAACATCCTGGCATCTGATGCTGAATGTGCGCAGCGTGCACGTTGACGTGAGGAAACATCTTGTTGTTTTCTGGGCGGCTCTGAGGGCGCAGAACCTCCACGATCCAAAAAAAAAGCAGGACTAAAACCCGATTGTTGAGCCTCTTTTGGGATTTTGTTTTACGAGCATTAGCACCGTCTGGGCTCAGCGGGTCGGTGGTTTCACCCCCTGGGCTCAGCGGGTCGGTGGTTTCACGCCCTGGGCTCAGCGGGTCAGTGGTTTCACCCCCTGGGCTCAGCGGGTCGGTGGTTTCACCCCCTGGGCTCAGCGGGTCGGTGGTTTTGGCTCCTTTTAGCTGAGCTTTTAGCTTGAACTCGTGCAGGCGGGCGGCGAGGGACCCGGGAATTTGAAAATGTTCAATCGTCGAGGTCCGAAAGCAAACTTATCCAAAGAACACTACATTTGTTTGGAAGCCTCGGCGCCGCATATCACCCTGCGACCATGCTGCATTCGAGGAGCGTTGGAAACGCCGCCGCTCTGCTCGTGGGTGGTTCCTGTGGGGCAGTTTGCTTTTCATCCTTCAGTTTTAAAGCGATCAAGTCATGATTGTGGCCTTCTAGTATTCTGTCGGTTCATGATGTTCACACGTCGTTCCCGCTCATCCTGTCCGGATCCGATCGTATGCCCGCAGCTTCGAACCTCATCCACAGCTGATTCCATCGGGGTGGGGGGTGGGGGGGTTGAGTGCAAAAAATCTAAAAAATAACAATTACAAAAAAACGCAAAAGTCTTTTTTTTCTATCTTCCATTTGGTGAGATGCATTGTAGCGATATGAATAAAGAAACACGTTCACCTGGTGTGCTGAATAATGTGTAAATTGGTAATTACACAATCTGAATATTTGTATAATTGTTTGTATTTTTTCATAATGATTTTGGAAAGGAATGTGTTTATTTTTTGACTTCTGTTCCAGATGTGTCTTCTGTTGGCCTGACATTGTGACTGGTCTGGTGGGATTCTTACCTCTGTATTGAGCCTCTTCTGTGATGAATTCTTTGTATGCAGTGTTTAGGAAATACTGTAGGGATCAAGGGGAGGAGTTGATATTAGGAGCATTTGATCAATTTGTATTTATTTATTTTATCATTTTGTTAATAAATTGTGAAAAGCACAACGTCTCCCGACTTTGTTCTGAGTTTTATGTCCAGCTGTTTTTTCATTCGAACGTTTTCACTTGTTGTTAACTTTGTCCTCTTGGTGCTGTTTTTAAATTATTTCACTTTATTTACAAATTAAGGATGAAGATCAGCGCCTCCAAATCTGAGGCCATAGTCCTGAACTGGGAGGACACGCTGGGTGTCTCTCAGCTGGTCTGGGGACACCTTGGAGTCCTGGAGGGAGGAGGTGGCTGTGGAGAGAGATGTCTGGACCTCCTTGCTCAAGCTGCCCCGAGACCTGATGACATTTGTTTAGCTTTTAGCTGCTGTTCTGTTGGGTTTAACTTTCATTTATGATGTTGCTAATTTTAGGTTTTAGTGAGTTTAGCAAATCTTAGCTTACAGCTGTTTTTTTTTACTGACATTTAAGCTTCAGTTTTGCTCATTTTAGCTATTCCAGTTGTGTTTATTTGTCATATGCAAGGTTAACACAAGGTTAACAGCACAATGAAATGCTCAGAATGAGAAGAACCGATTTGAGCGACAGTTTAGCTTTTAGCTGCTGTTTTTTTGGAGTTGTATTTTAGCTACTGTCTTACTAATTTTGACTTTTTATTAATGTGAGACTGTTTGACAACTGAAGCTTGGACCAAACTGGGTCCAACAGGACCATGATCCCAAACACAGCAGCTGATCTACAACAGAACGGGGTCAAAACGAACCGAACCAAGGACCAGTCAGTGTCCAGAACCTCTACCCGACTGAACCAGTGTAGCGGACCTTCAGAGAGCTGAGTGAAAACCTCAACGATTGAGAGAAGAGTGGTCCAAAACTCCTCCAAAACCATCAGAGAGACCGAGTCCTACAGAGAACAGCTGAGGGTTCTAAAGCTGCTAGGACTCTGGTTTTTACATGGTTTATAGATTATAGTTTTTTTTATAGATTATAGTTTAATTTTTGGTAAAATATTGAGATTAAGTTCTGGTTCAGGCCAGGATGGGCTCTGGATTCTTCATATCCACCACCTCAAGTAGTAATAGATTACAGTAGGTATTTTAGTAGATTACATCTGGACAGCCATGATCAAATTATTAAAAAGTCACATGATGGTCTCAGTTTCATGATGAGAATACTTGACATTATAATTATAAACATGTAAAACGAGATTTTATTGAGGGATGTGTTTCTAATAAAAGTAAATAAAGCTCATTTCCTAAAAACTTTGCCTATCGCCCGCCGGCTATTCATAAACGTTCAGAAATAACGGAATACGTGTTCTCCCGTAGTCTCGCGAGATTTACGCGATCTCTTGTAATCCCGCGAGAATTTTTGACGTTCTTTTCTACTTTGTTTTTCTCGTTCACTGTTTTATTTTTTATATAATATGCAATAGTTTACTACTTTATATGTAAATGAATCTAGGTAATGTTAAAAATAATCACGTAATATATCACCGTGTCAATGTCTTTAAATCAAATTGCTACGTTCAACACGACACAGCAGAGTGGCGCAGCGGAAGCGTGCTGGGCCCATAACCCAGAGGTCGATGGATCGAAACCATCCTCTGCTAACCTTTTTTGTTTGAACCATAAAATTTTAATTAAATGTCATAAGAAAAATAATTATTTTGATTTCTTGGCCAAAAAAAACGTGGATTCTGTTTTCAATTCGAAAAAAACATAAATTTTTTACTTTATAAAAATCTTTTTGCCCCACAGATCCACATTGTACACAAAGTCTGGAGAGTTCCAGAACCTGGTTCCTGCATTTACGTACCTGGAGAGACATCTGGTCTGGTGTGACCCCTCGAGGATTTATGCCTAAAAGTCAAATAAATACTGAGAGATCTCTGGAAAATGATGCTCTAATCAAAGCTCAGAAGGTCTGCGTCGCTTGATTACAAATAATCTGTGGCTCAGGCGGCAAACAAACAAAGAAATCGTCAAACCCAAATGAATTTGAGAACTTTGTTCTTCTGGTTGTGATTCAGCATACAGTCCTCAGCTGATGGAGAAGTGTCTCCACCCCACAGCCAGAACGTTGGTCTGGTAGTCCTCTGATGGTCCGGCTCCAGGCCCTTCAGAAGGGTTTTATGGTTCATCTGTCTGGTCCATCTGAACCGCTACACAGAAACAACCAACACCAGAAGCTCTGGAGCTAAACCAACACAACACTGATCAAAGTCAGAAGAGCAAACAGAAACTGAACGATCCAAGAAGACAGGAAGGAACAGGAAGTGAGGGATTGAACCAAAGAACCAATCCGTCCTTTGTCTTTACCCACTTCTCCTTAACAGCAAACACTGTGCAGGGGACAAAGGACACCTGTACAGGTCTCCATCCTTGACAGGGCCACCTGGACTGGTCAGTTTGTGGGAGGAAACGAGTATACTCGGGAGAACATGTAAACTTCTCATTGAAAGACCGGGAAGTGAACCTGTGACTTTCTTCCTGAGACGTAACAGCTCTAACCACTGCACCACCATGAACCAGAGAATAAAATGTTAAGGTTTTAAGGGAAATTTACTCATCTATATACTTTAGGAATACATTCACAATATAACGAGCTAAAGAAAAGTAGAAAATAACACATGAAGGGAAAAAAAACATTTGCTGCAACAAAAAAATAACAGCAAGAACCTTGACCTCTCAAACATCTGCCAAGTCCTTAGCAAAAACCAATGCAGACATGTTCCTGTTTTTAGTATTCTACATCGCTTCAACCCAGCTGTTTTTGTTTCGTTTTTTTAATACCATTTTCTTTAAATTTGTTCTTCTCTGTATGCTTTTTATTGTTGTCTACTGTTGTCATCACTCTTTGTTAAAGCAGGTTTCTCGCTTGTAAATGAGTCCCCGAGGCTCAATGGAATTAACCTGTATAGTATAAATAAAGCTTGAATGAAAAGAAATCCAAAACCTAGAAGATAGCAGAAAGATGGCAGTCAGGATCCTGTAAAATACTTATACAGTAGGTTTTTTAAAGAAAGGCGGGAGTCGAGACTTGTACTTTGTTTTTGACGACAGCTAGGTACGGATACCGATTAAGGACATACAGTAACGCTTCACCATGAAACCGGAAACAGATCGGGTCCTCCAAGTTGTGGATGATTTCCGGTGAGCCCAGTTCATCATGGGGAGCAGCAAGTGTTGCGTGAAGAACTGCGAGAGCAGCTCTCACGACCTCCTCGGCAGGAAGCTTCAGACCGGACTGACCTTCCACTGTTTCCCCGCCTGGAGAACGAACGAAGGCGACTTCGTGTCGGAGCTGACGAGGCGGAGGAGAGCTGCGTGGGTGGCTGCAGTCGGCCGCAGCGACATCACATTCATCCGCGTCCCGTCCTTCTTTAGAGTCTGCTCCCGTCATTTCTACTCCGGTGAGGAGAAAGTGCTTCTGCAAATAATTCAAAATAAAGAAGGTCTTGCATTACTGTGGAGTTTATGAAAAAAGTCTTCGCGGCACTCTCAAATTCTGCTTCCGCGGCTCACTACTGTTTAGATACGTGAAGCTGCCGCCATATTGCTCAGTGCTACTCCCAAATTTAAACACAGGTCAATAATAACCGCGGTTTAACTCAGTTTATTTTTCTTATGTTAACTTGTTTGTTTCTTGCTAATGTCATTTTTGATTTAGTTTGTTTAAAAATAAAACTTTCAATGTTTTAAATGAATCAAGACCTGACAATATTACTATAAATATGAACTTTCTCCAAAGAGAAACATTTTGTTTCTGTGCGTCGTATCTGCAGGTTTTGCACAGTACCATCTCGTGCAGGCTGCAGAATCGTGTCAGACTCCAGAAATAAACAAAACATTGTGCATTTTTACAGGAAAACCAGCTTTTGAGATGCTGGACTTGGATCCAGACTGGGTTCCGTCTCTACACCTTGGTCACCATGAAGAAAAGTCCAGAAAAAAGAAACGCAGACACGAGGACGGTGGGTGGTAATGTTTGATCTTAATATTTTTCAGGTTAAGTTCAGGTGTGACGCTCTTCAGTGACCTCCTCTGTTTGGGTTCAGATTGTGGTTTGGATCTCAGGAGACCAGCGCCACCTCCTTGGAAGGAAGTAAAAACTGCTCTGCAGACTCTTCTGCAGGGAAAACCCAACATCTATCAACAGAACCCAGGAGAACCAAACAGCCGACCCGCTGAGACCAGGACCAGCTTCAGAGTACGCCTCACAGAAATTTATTTTTCATTTGGGTGAAAACAGTCCAACGATGCTTGAATCTGTTCAAACCCATCATGGACAGAACCGTCCTCTGGTTCTTCTGGGCTTTTACTGACCTTCACTGGTGTTCCAGGACTTCTTCAGGAACGCTCTGGAATCGTCCTTGGAGGCCTCCATCCAGTCCAGAGCTCAGTCCAAGAACTGGTCTTCATCCACCAAGAGCAAAGTGGAGCTGGACTTTAAGCTCCTGCCTCTGATCGGAGGACGGCTGACCCGTAAAGAGTCCGCGTCCTGCAGGAACTGTTTCCAGCTGCTGTGGAGGATTCGGGACTTGGAACACCAGCTGTTTCAGCTCACCAGCAAACGGTACCATGAGAGTTTGGAGGCTTCGCTAACTTTGACCCAGCTGGACCAGAACCAGGATCAGCAGAGTTCCAAAGAAGAGAGGGAGGCTTGTGACCGTAAGTCTGTGTTCTGATCTGTTCTGAACGTCTCTCTGTATTTTCTGTTCTGATGAACCCGTGTTCTGTCCTCACAGGGACAGGTCGTCTCTCACCTGGCGAGGTGCGGGTCGATGACCACAACGTGGTTCTGGACTCAGAGATGGCTCCATCCAACGCAGCCTCGGTGCCAGGTTGCCCCCGCCCCCGTTTCAGGTGGGAGTGGTTAGACACGTTCAAGTTCCTCCGGTACTCGCCATCCCGGAACGTCATGTGGTGCCAGGTGTGTCGGGTTTACGCCAACAGAGCCCACCGGAACCACCGCCTAGTCAAAGGATCCAACGTTTTTTTCAAGTCCAGCCTGATGAAGCACAGCAAAAGCATTTTTCATCTGGACAGTATGAAGCGGAACTGGGCCAGTTCAGGTTCTGGTGTCTTAACCGGGCTCAACTTGGACACGGGTTCAGATAATCTGAGTTAGAAAAGAAAAACGGTAAAAAAGTTGACGTTTGTCAGAAAGTGAGAAAAGTTGGACAGAAATGTGTTTCCTGAACTTTGACCTTATTGGATCAGTCAGAACCAAACTGTCCAGAGAAGAGGTGGTTTGGTTCCTTGTAGAACTAAAAACTAAAGTCCTGATTGATCTCCTGAGGTCACCTGACTCTTTTACATTCAGTCATGTGACCACGTGTCATCACTTCCTGTTGTGTGACCGCTAATTTGACAGTTATACTTTTTATCTATTTGTCCATTTTCTTTACCCGCTTCATCTTTTCAAGTCACAATGAGGTGGGGGACACCTGGACAGGTCCCGAGTCCATCACAGAGACACCTGGACAGGTCCCGAGTCCATCACAGAGACATCTGGACAGGTCCCGAGTCCATCACAGAGACA